GAGTGAGTAGAACTAATTAAATCGTTAGTTTTCAGGTTAATTTTACGGAGGATGGAATAAAAATATTCCGAAACATCGGCAAACTATGAGTTTAATAGTTTCTACTCACCCTGACAAATTCACGTGAACTACAATCCTAAAACTAAAAAAATTATATTAATGCACGTACCTACGCACTATTTGAAAATATGTACGCTCCTTTTTACGTGCACAGAAAATCGCACACGGATGTGCTCGGATGCCAGGAAAACAAACACGAAGCCACATACAGGCTATAGTAAGACATCCGCGACCTACCCACTTGGCACTTATTCCCTTTCCTGTCGCCACCGCCGCTCCCAGTGCGATACACAAACGGATCTCCGTCATTCCACCAAGTCGCTGACCTCTCCCGCCCACAAGACGGGCCCCCACGGAGTGGGAGGGCATAAATCCACCTGCTTCTCACACGAGAGTGGCGCACGACTGCCTGCGAAGCCCGGCCGCCTCTCGCCAGGTTTTTGCCTCCGCTCTGGCCTCGTACTTTACAATATCCTGCTCTCTTTCTGAACGCTTGGTGGGCGCTTAAAACATGGTAGATTAATATATAAGCGTAATACATACGTAGGTTCCCCTTACATGGAGGCCTCCAATATGTTTTCAAGCAAAACGTATGTTAGTTCATTAATATTTAAAATATTTTAATATTTTATTTTAATGGCAAATAGATTGCATTTTCAATGTGTGGTTCACGAAATCTAAAGACAGCAGATAACGCAGAGTTACGACGGGCTACTGATGATTAAATAATATGAGGTTAAACTCAATTACAACGATACGTATGAAAAATCATCCCGTTTCTATGGTATTTCATAGTGGTAGGTGTGACACACAGTATACTACGATAATGAAGATAACATAACAAATGTTCATAATAACATAATTAGGTAACATTTTTTAATATATCGATGTATCCGGGCATCACCACTGCTATGGTCATTAGTCTCAGGTACAGTGAAGGATTTATCCCGGAAGGTGGCGGTGTTCCACCAGCGCGGTGGGATCCTCCAGTTCCTCCAGGTGGATGGTGGGATCCGGAGCCTATTTACAGGTGAGCATGCGGGGAATCTCCCCCTTCGGGTGTCTCCCCCAGAGGGTCTCCGTCCCAGCTAGGATAAACTCCCGACATGTATGGTAGTGAAGTAAATGTATCAATTTCCAAAATGCCTCCATTGTTAATTTTTTTCTCAGATAGACGAAAGGACGCTTGAAAAAACCACGTAGGTCCCATTTTCGTTGTACTTCTTACTTTCGAAAACTGCACGAGAGATGTGTGGAAGATCTAAAGAAGTGACTTCTGAAGCGGAATTCACCTAAACCTGATCCTCTAGAAGGATGCAAAACAAATGGCGAGGCTCACTGACGTAAAGAGAATCCTTCTTGCCCCTCCCCAACTCGCTTAACTTCGTTTGCGACAGTCCAGTCTTGGCCGTGTAGTCTGGCCTCCATAATTCGAAGTTGCCTGCACGTATTCGCATGGCAACTTTCCTCCCATGACCCACTCACGTACTTCCTTGAATGGAAGTTCCACAGCGCACGTGCAAATACGACAGTATATTAATTGTCAACCAGACCCGGATTTGCGACAAGGAAAATCCAGTCACAGATATATTTTTAGATTGTCTTGCACGGGGTTGCTTTAACGGACTTTACGTAGAAGACGCCACGCGTCAGTGAATGGAAAGGAAATGGGCTATTTAGGTCCGGCGTTAATCCTGGATTCCCAAGCCATTCATTTACGGCCGAAGGGGAAACAAACGGGAAGAGGAAATTGGAACCCCTTGACATGACTCATACAAGAGTACAGTTTGCTCGCAATTCTCTTTGCGTTGTTTCAAGCATGTAGCTATTTTTAATTCAATTCTCGTGTTTAAAGTGTAAGTTAGATCTTTGACACTCTTTTGAAATTGTAATGTTTAATTCGGTATGATAACGGCATATCAAATAAAGGTTTCGTTATGAAATATTTTATTTCTAAAAATAATAATGAAAACACGTTATTGAAGGGCCCAAGGGTAAAATATGATCTACAAAATTGCCGTTTTGATGATATAATTTGATGATGATAACAGCTCCTGTAAGCTGTTAACCATGCTCTGTTATTCAAATTACCTTTTATGCCTTCTATAAGAACCTCTGATGTTATTTTCCTCAAACCAAAATAATCACTTATATTTGGAAACTGTTTACATTTAGATTATCATTATTTATATCCGAATACTTCTACTAATAAGACAAATTTTCAAAGGATTTATAATAAAAGCAGTAATTTCATGTCATATCAAAAGTATCCAACGATCACATCACTGTTTTATTAGTTTTTTTATGTACGTATGTATAATGTATTTACGTACTTCTTTATTGTGTGTGTGCTTTTATTATATTTTATTTATTTAATTTATTGTATATATTTTGGTTGTGCTTCCATTCAGCTTCAGAGGCGTTTTAAGATTAAAAACACACTGCTTTCATACATATATTTTCCATAACATTAATGAAAAGCAACAATGTGATAACAATGACTGTAACTAATAAAATGAAAACAAGTAGTACTACAATAGTATATACTTGCTCTTATTATTTGTAACAGTAACGTAATATTACGACAGTTGTTTATCTTGTGCAAAAATATCACGGATTTGAACTCTTATTGCCTGTTGTTTCGCGGCCGACTGGTTACTTCTGCGACTGGGTCGCTTCATTGACTCAACACACGTCTCGAGTTGACGCATCGACTTAACACACGCCTCGAGTGCTCTCAATCCGCAGTAATATTTGTCACATGCTGGGATTGGAACTCAAATATGCGGCCAGTACGATAACCATTCCACCGGCGGGTCTTTCAACTATTCTACTACCCAGACATACTTCCCCACCAAAAGCAGTGTATCGTGCTCCGTACTTACCAAAAGTTGAAAAAAATGGACCAGTTTTTTAGATTAATTTGTGAAGGTTTTACGGAGGAATTGTCAGGAAGTAAATTAAAATTATTAAAAAAATATTCAATTAAAAAAGTAGTACACGACACCATTTAAAAATTAATTTCCAAACATCTAGCTTAAATTATGAAAATTTTCCCGACCATTCAGAGATTTTAATGAAAAATCAGAACTGTTTGAAATGTTGTGATTTTCCATCATTTACAGGCTTATAATGAAAGTACTATCTCTACCTCGTAGTACAATTACCTCATATAAGCGCGAATTTTCTCTATTCGACCAAAAAAATGTAGCAAAAGTTGGAGGCATTTGAGAAAAAATTGGAAATGTTGTAGGAGCCGTATGTAAACTCAATGAACGTAACATAAAGCTATTAGATGATGTTCACCTTTTTCTAAAAAATGGCTCCGATATTTGCTTTAATTTTCTTTTTGGAATTGAGCATACGTCGCGCTTATACACTGCCCTCGGAAAATTAAAAGAATTCCAATTCGCAGAACCGCAAGTTAGGCAGATAGATATAAGAATATCCGTTTTGAAGAAAATCCTGTGTATGATTTAGATGATAGGGTTGTTCGATCAGGCAAACAGACATTTTGGGAAGAAACAAAGATTTTTCTGTATCAGGGATCCTCACATCGTGTATTTCCTTAAAAATCCCGACATTGATTTTTCTGAGCATTACTTAACTTTACCTGTACTACGCATATGTGTGCATTTCGAATACATGCACAATTTGAGGGAGAAAAATGAAAGCGAGAAGTGAAAATTAAGAAATATTCAACAGAACCCAAGGGAATCCTAAAACTTTGAATCAATGGGTGTGATAAATAAACGCTCACGCAATTCCGGGTATCTTAAACTAGTTCTCTATAGAAATGACATGACACACAGTAGTAAGACAGCTTTTATGGAATGAACAGGGAGCTAGAGCAAAAAATTGACAAATCAATGAACTTACATTACGAGCAGGCGTGTTTTTGTACTCCGTTGGAGTTTTTCCCGTTTTGTTTTGTTTTTCAGTGTTCGTGTTTTATGTAGAGTGGTACGTCGTTTGGAGATTTCAACCAATTGCATAAACAGTAAGAAAACGCCCCCCTCTCAATAACAGATGATTCTGATACTTTCATCCCTCCCGCTTTTCTTTTTCCGGGAAGTGTCGGTGGCCGAAATGACATTCCAACACAGTTTCTCTTCGTTTGCCTTTCCCTACTCCAACTTTGGCAGATAACTAGAAACAACAAGAACAGGAACTTTGGGCTCTGAACCACTACAAGTCACACTCATAAATAAAATTAATCATCATAAAAATTGCGAAAACGAGCATCGAGAATTTTCTGGCACTCCTCTCCTATTTATTATTTTTCGTAATACACTGTTGCCTTGTGTTTCAGCAAACAAGGCACATGAGCACGAGAAGAAAGTTAAGTAGTTGGCGTTAGTGTGAAGCATGTTTATGCAAAACCCAGACAACTCTATATTCACCAGCTATTTAATAGATGGGTGTGATAAATAAACGCCCACGCAATTCCGGGAATCTTAAACTAGTTCTCTACAGGAATGACATGACACGACACAGTAGTACGACAGCTTTCATGGAAAGAACAGGGAGCTAGTGCAAAAAATCGACAATCTTGTTTCGTTAATCTTCAATCGATTTATAAATTCATCCAGACACTTACCTGTCGAAAGAGATTCGAAAATGTGTGAAAAAGAACCAATTTTTTCATCGACTGGAGGATTAATATTTCCCATGAGTTTTATCCTTTTCGTACTTGAGATTAACTGTTCCGTCCGTGGTCACCAATTGCTTAACTGAGCCCTTGATCAGTGAATTTATCTTATATTTTGACAGAATTCCAAAACACAACGGAAAGGTATGTAATGTTAAAGGCGCGGCACATGCAACCCCTGGACTGTCATTAACGTGAAGAAACGGCCTGGCCCTTTTCCGAGTGCACCTCCACCGCAGGGGGGATTCGCGCGTGTCACTCCGGCCACCTCGGCGCCGGTCTGTGAGGAATGCGCTTTCGCCCCCCTTGCGGTGCTGTCACCACGCGGAAAGCGCCGCGGCGACTGCGATGCCTTCGCGCGGAACGCTCCTCGCCAAGACAGAGTCTCCGCCGCCGCCGTGGCAGTGGCAGTGGCAATGGCAATGGCAGTGACAGTGGCAGTGTCGGGAAACCCACGGCCCCATTAGGCGTGTTTAACAACCTTGGCCAGCTCCGTTACGTGAGCCGCGAAGTCGCAGGGTCTGCGCGCGACGCCCGACGGCGCTTACCGCTCCTCTGGGCGGCGCCGCACGCGACGAGCAGCAGCGCCATCAGCAGCAGCGGCAGCGGCAGCGAGGGCGGCGAGGGCCCTCTGGCGGGCGGGCTCATGGCGACGCGGGCTCCTGGTGTCTGTCTTCGGGAGAGGGCGACGCGACTCGGTGGCGCTGCGAACGCGACTGAGCTGACGGGCGCCTTGCGGCCCGAATAGACGCACCTGCCGTCGTCGCACCGCGCTGCGACCTTCGTCACGCCGGCGACGTGACGTCAGCACCGCTCCTCCCGGACTGTCTCGCGGCGACCGCCGTGGTCCTTTGCCCGAGGCGTCCGTGACCACATGGACCGGGCGCTCCTTACCACATGTCGTTCCCCGGTCAGCTGGCAAGGAAAGTTCGGCCTCGTTTTTTTAGCGCTGTCACTTTAGGGGAGAAACATAAACACCTGAAGGAAGATAAATCTTTAAAAATTACTCGATTAAATATACTACAAGAGAAACAATAAACATCTTCTTAAGTACAATTTCAACAAAATCGGTTGGGACATATTAAGGAAATTATAAAAAAAATAAAAATACACTTAATACGATTCTGACCGTTGTTCAAGACAACATAGTTTCTCAATGAAACTTGTGTTTTTTGTTATGACATTTAACTAGAAAAAAGTGTAGTATACGGGTTATATTACCATACTTAGCTTGTTGCATATTCAACAATTGGTGAGTTCAAATCTCTTTGAATGCGAACTTTCTGATATCTCAATATTTTCTTGTGATATATAAAAAAATTCTGTATTATATGAAAAATATATATGAAATACCTTCGAATTAATTAAAGCAGGAAAAAAATAATAAATGCTCAAATAGATTCATTTACGTTCTAATGTTGGCACTATGAATCATTCCCGCCTGTGCGCAAGGTGCGAAAGATACGAAAACGATCTGTGCAGCTTCTGTACCAGATGAGATGCTGCCGTGATCTGTCGTTTTGATTTCAGAATCTGTTGTGTATGCGTGTGCAATGCTATGTGTTTCTGACCGATTTGCGACTGGTGCGAGACAGCAGATCCTTGCATTAAAGAAATAATCTTGTAGACGCCGATCTAACGAACACTTGTCGGCATGGGCGATAATGGAATTTGTTTTCGTGAAGTGACCCCTGATCAACTTTTTCCGGAAAAATGGAAAGATTTCACTGTAAATATCGGTAAGTAAAAATGGGGAATGTTTCCATGTATGTGTAATTAGCTTAAGTACATTTCACTGCACCATGATTTATGAAAACATAACCTAAAAAATGTGTGCTATTTCAGGTGGCACTCAGGCTTTACAGGAAATCAAAGTACCAGAACGTGCTGGAGGATATGCTTACAAAGACCAAGTGAAAATCTACTCCAGAAATCGTTTCCTTTATTGGTTAGTTAAACATGTTTTTATAATGGTTGAAATGTTACTGTTCTATAAATATTGTTTTCTATAGTTAATCTTAGATTAAGTGTGTCATATTTCTTGTTATTGAAGTAACCTTATTAATCTCAAACATTGCTTTGCTTTAATGCACAATCTCTGTAAAGTTATGAGTTTTAATTTTCTTAATTACAAAATGTCTTTTTATTGATATTGTGTTCCATCTCCACATATTTGAGCATTGACTCTTGTTTTTATTAATAAACATGTAAAATGTGCAACTAATATCGAAAATACCATAATGATTGACTTATTAATAATGTTCCTTAGGCGTACTTCCCATGACACTCTGGAGCTTGTGGAGCAGAGCTTGGATGTTAATCTTGTTGGTAATGCACTTCGAATTCGTTTTCAAGATACACCTGTTCTTGAAGGTGTTTCAGTTCATGAAGCAGAGAAAGCTATTGTAGTTTTGGTGGCAACTGTTTCCAGTGTTCATCGCTTATCATTTCCTCATCCTGATCATTTGTGTTCAGAGGTAAGGTCCTGAAGAAACATTGTTTTTATTTTAGGTAATCAGTGCTTCATTTTTAAAAGTCTGTGACAGTGCATTATACTTACTTTTATCTAGCTAATCTAGTGTATTGCCTTGCTTAGATACATGATTTTCCAATATTGAACTTATTTTTAAATTACTTTGTCCGTATTATTGCAGCATATTCCCAGCAAAAGTTTTTAAGTTTCAGTAGAATGTTTAAAAGATTTTGAATATCACTGATTATTTTTTGAATTTATAAGTATTATTTACCTTTGTATACCTTTTTCTTTTTTTTTCTTCTTCTTCCAATTTAAGGCTCAATTTCTAATTAGAGTATCTGCTCGGTCAATTTTCCAGGACACTGCTGATTTTGCCCTAGCCCATCATCCTGATATTGGAATAAAGTCCATATTTGCAGACACTACTCTTTCTTCTGTGAGAGATCCTAGTAGTTTCCATGTCCTGAATAGTGTGGCATCAGGTACGTGGCATCATCATTGCTGATGATTTGATTTACTGTTTCACTGAATATGTTTCTTTGTATTTTGATCTTATTCATTAAATTATAAATTTATTTGAAAATTTTCAAAATGTAGAGTAAAAACTGATACTTTGGTGTGAAAACGTAAAATCCCAATTTATTTTGTTATATAGGAATTGGTCTTCCACATGTATCTGCCTCATTGCTAACAGTTCAGGGTGATTCCCTGTTTGCCTTGGGTTACCCGTCTGGCAGCAACCTGCTTGTGCAGATGGGTGCAGGCGGCCAAGAAGTAATGGTACGAGAGCTCAAGGAAGAAACCTTTGTACCTCGCTTCCTATCTGGCATCACACACGCTCTTATGTAAGTTGATACGATGTGTTGGTAGGCTTCCCCAGATGGAGTCAACACATTCTTGGCTATCCGGGATGAGCCGGGTCTCGGTCAATTGTGCTGATGTTTCAGCCATTTCTGACCTCCTTCAGTGCTATACTGCTGTAGAGTTTCAGAGCAGTATAGCTCTGAAGAAGGCGACAGCATGATGGTCGAAACGTCAGCACAATTGACCGAGACGCTGCTCATCTCGCATAGCCAAGAATGTAAGTTGATAATGTTTTTGATATTGCAAATGGAACACAATAATAGGTAATACTTTAAGATTGTCAACAATTCACAAAAACTCTTCTGATCTGACTGATCTGATTTAATATGAAGTTTATGGCCAAGATCTTATTAGAAATTTATTCAGAAGAGCTGAATTTCATTTGGGTACAATCTACTGTCTAGTTTGTTAATTATTTTCGTGTATTGCCACAACTTTTCAGTCCACCAATCTTGGTGAACTCCTTCAAAGCCTACCAATGCATTGAAAATTAAAAAGATAGATATTTCATAATTTTACATCTGAAAGCAATGTGTGCTTAAAGTCATCCATGTTATTTGTGTAACATCTCGTTACTGGTTTGCTTGTTAATAGATGTGGAATGAATTCTGCATTCTCAAATCATAATTCTAGAAGGTACTTGATGCCCTCAAATACCGAAATACCTGAATACAATGTTTTTAAAATAATATTGTATTAGGTTATATTATTTTAGAAGCAAACTAGCTTACACAGAATAATTTTGATGAAAATGTCAAATTCTGCAATTGGATTCAGTGCAATTAAATTAAAAAATATATCTTCAATATTATTAAATATGGTAGTGAGTTACAATACTTTCTAATACTAGTTTCATGTATGTTATGTATTATGTCATGTAAATTCAAGTAAGAGAAATCCAAAACAGAAGGTTTAGAATTGAACAGAGATTATTAACAGAGTTTATAAAAAATGGAATTGGATGATTAAAAATATATGCATATTTGAATTTTTCATTTGTGAAGTTCTTTTTCTGTACTCAAGGATTAAGATGGAGTGCAGAACAATGTCTGAATTTTGAGGGTTTCTCTCTCTCAGATTCTCTGCAACATGCAATAAAACTATTAGTGTTTTGAATGCATTTTATTCTTTGCTCTTCTTTACAGAGGAGGTCGGGGTGTCCCCACAGAGGCACCTGTGAGTCTTGCCCTACACTGCATTGGGCTGGAGACTTACCTTTTTTGTTTGCACCGTGATGGCATTCTCGCCATGTGGTCGTGCAGCCGTGTGGCACTGATGAGCACCCTTGATCTAGCGCAAGTGTGTGGCAGTGAGCCAGGGCAGCATGCTACAGAAGGAGGTCAGTTTCACCAGTTTTGTTTAAACTCTTCCAATAAAGTGTTGTTGATTTGGCTTTTATTGATTTTTTTAAAACTTATTTCCTCTGCTAAATTGAAAAATTGAATGTGAAATATGAAACAATTATCTGTTACTGCTTAGTTGGGTTAACATATGACAAAAAATAATTTAATAATTTATTGTTTTTTCTCCTAAGAAACATTCTTTATTACAAATCTTAACTTTGAAATCACAAAATTCTGTCAAGTAAACATTATCAAATTGTACCATTACATAATATTGGTTTTATTTCACTTTTTCAAACTGCTGGGAAAAACATGTTTCTGTGACTAATACTCATTGAGATGAAAACTGCTTAACCTTTGTTTCCTTCCTTCCTTCTTTATTTCTTTCTGCATAGGTAACAGAAAGGTGAAAAATACTGGCAAAGTCGTGATTTAGAAATTAAAAAATTTAACAGAATAGTTTTGTGTTTTATGCGACATTGTGTTATATGTTAATCAATTTATGATTATTACTAATTTTATGCTGTGCACTTAAATATTTTTGATTTCCTAATTGAATGTTGCAGTTCAGAGTCATGTGCTGCGCAAAGCTCAAGATGCAAGAGATGGGCGTGTTCTGCTGGCTGCTTTCCTCTGCTTTGCAGAGGGTTCTCAAGTGTGCCTTGCCAAGCCTTCTCTTGTGCCTGGAGGTGCCTCTTTTCGTCTCAACCTTTTGTGTACTGTTCCTGCACCTGCTGTGAGTTACCTTAATTTATTTTTGAAAACAAAAATTGTTTACAATGATTTTGAATATGAAAAAGTTATACCAAGAATGAATGTATGCTTCATTTACTCAAAAATCAATCTTGTTTGAAACTTATTTTCAAATGCAAGAATTAAAATTCATAAGGAGTAATTAGATCATTGTTGGAGAGGAGAAAGTTTCTAACAATTTTGCAACATGTTGCGTAACAATTCTTTTGTTCTGTTAAATCACATAAAAATTTGCAATTTGTATAAATTGAATAGTAAACTGGATTTTTTTTAAAAACTTTTCTACAAAAAAGCAAACAAAAATAGTACATTGGGATTCCCAAAAGATTGCTTTTAAAATGAAGTTTAAAGGTTTATGTCCTTTCTCCCACAAATAAAATTTTCAAGAAATGAAATTGTTTTTCTTACAACCATGCAGTTTTATTCTAAATTTTGCTCTCTTTACCTGCATATAAGAGTTTTTTTTTTTCTGAACATCTCACTTGCAAAATACAGGGTCGTCTTATATCCAAAAAACAAGCCTAGTTGGTTTGGAGTCATGCTCTTATTTTGCCTTTCCGTTATGAAACTTGTAAATATTACCATAACAAAAAGCTCTGAAGACAGTAAAATATCATGTGAACCTATAACATGTAATTTTATTCTACTTGGCATCCACCGCAAATTTGCCAGGTGATTCAGACTGATATTTTTGAATGGGCTAGTAAAGAGGAATCTCATACTTATGCCATTGTATCAAGTAAAAGTAACGTGAAAATGAATACAAATCGCCGAGATTGTGTTACACAATGTATGTTATGGGATCAACAAGGTCACATAAACACTTCGTTTGAAGCTCAGTGCATGTGAATCTGCATTTTATAACCAACAGAAATGGAAAAAAATTCACAATTATAGAAGTATGTTCGCATTCTAAATCCAACTACAGAAAAGGATGATAAACAAGTATTTTCTAGGCGTAATCTTCCAAAACTTGGAAATGAGCTACTATATCCAACATTACGTGCGAAACAGAGGAGCTGAGATGTAAGAGTTTGCCCTTTTTAACTCTGTCACCAAACATTAAAGGATTCAAAATTTGATTTTATTATTTTATATTTATTCTATTAAACATTGTGAAAATAGTGTTTAAGAGTCCAAAGCCACAGCGGGTCAGGATGAACATATGGTGACACTGAAGGAAATGTTCTTACTTAGGTGCCATTTTTTGAAGGCTAAGAATGTAAATTCAATACACACAACTTTCAGAGAAGCTTAAAAGGGCGAGAGTGCTTCAGTATGGGAGGAGGATCAAAAAGGAACAAAACGTGTAAAGATTGAAGAGTGTAGGGACAAAAACCATTATGATTTTATGAGACAAGAAAATAATGCTAGCTCTGCCATAAGTACCAAACAAGGTCACATTTCATTTATGAGGCAATGCTTTAGTCAATTACAATTTGCAATGTTATTTTGACTAAATAGTAAGAACAAGTTAAAATTTTTAAAAAATTCTCGAGACTGTGGTTGGTGCTTCAAAAAATCACCATTTCCTTTTCCCAACCACTTAAAGTAAAATATATTATATTTTGTATACTTTGTATACATATCTGTATATTTTTTTTGTTTTTTCATGAACATTTTGAGCGATAGCAAGCCAAATTAGAGGGCTTTTTTATAAAGTTCTTATAAAACGCATTTTGATTCACTCCAATAGCACAGTTGGGTTTTAGGCCAGTCAAACTTAAACAAGTTTTACCGAGAAGGCTGGATAAAATGTATGAGGAATGGTAAGTGAGCAGAGCATGTTGGGCAATGCTAATCAGAAAGACTATTTTAGAGCAAAGAGGCATTTGCATTGTGTGCAGCAGATGGCAGGAGCGAAGCCTGCAGGGGAAGGCCTTTGAGAGATAAAATTGATAAAGCGAACAGCTCAGTTTCACACATCACACAGTTTTCACAGTTAGTGGAATATCTATGGTGATATGGAAAAGGAAGCAAGAACCTCTCATAATAGTAGTCGACTTGTTTTTAAAAATAAATGGGAACTTTTATTTTTAACTGGAGATAATATAAAACATTTGGTTTGGTGTAAATAAAGATTGAATTACCGTTTTACTGCTTTTTTTTTGCTAAATTGAAAGTGGAAGAAAGTTTGACAGAAATTTGAATCGTGAAAAGGACGTTATTTTAGTACATGTTTTATTTTGCACGAAATTTCACGTTTAAGATAATGCTGCCTGAAAATTGTGCATTTCGGAATTTTACTGGACAAATTTGCAAGATTCATAATTTTATTGCATAAATATAATTTTTATAATATCAACTTGCTTTAGTTTATCATTTTTAATTTTTTCCTTAAGAAAAAAGTTTTTATAACCTAACCCAGCAGGGCATTCAGATGGTGTATGAAACTCGAGTGCCATTTAATATGTATCAATACTGCATTTTGTTGCCCTGTGAACTGGGCGTCTCTACCTTTCATGATGCCTATTTTCTAATTACAATCTGAGTTTTGCAGCAGGTATAAGTCTGCAGAACCTTGGTTTGCAGCCTCTCAGCCCACTATGTTTGGGGTCTGTCTCATATACCGGTATTGTCAGTCTTTGCTGAACTTACCAACATGAGACAGCCAGCGCAATTCACATTTGACCTTAATGCTTGTGCATGAACCTTAGTGTCAAGTTGCACTGCATTTTAAATTTGTTGAATTTCTTGGAACAGATGTTGCCCTGGGAGGTTCAAAAGAGAATGAACACAGTTTTTAACAGATTTTAGCAGCGGTCACGTACGTCCAAGTGAATCTTGGCACTCAGACAAGTAGTAAGTTAAAAGTAGAAAGAAGTGTTTCTTCTCTGATACATGAATTTGGAAATATACATAATTGTAAATTATAGTGAAGACAAATACTATTTCTTCTGTAACTTAATTATTTTTGTTTTCTGAAGGTATATTTGCATTTTTCAATTTTTATATGTACATTTTTGTTTTATACCAATTTAATTTTGTGTATGAATAATATTTAAAATGTCAAATATGATTTGTTTAAACAATATGTATAAACGTATTTCAAATAACACTAAAATGATAATATTTCATTCATCTTAAATATCTCGTTCAAAATATAAAAATAAGTTGCTAAGTGAATTAAACAGAGTATTGAGACTACATAACTGTTTTTCAGCCTTGATCTTTCTATGTCATGTTTTTGTAAGTTTTGATGTTCTTATTGCACATTTTAGGGAGTTTTACTGCAAGAAAATCCTGTCTTAAGTCATAAAATTTTTAATTGTGTTAGAAACATTTAGGCATTCATGACCTTTACATTGATCATGATTATTCTCTCATATTTTCAATTCTAAACATGCCCTCTATTTCTTCTCTTTGCAACTTCAATGATATCATGTTTGGGTTTAAGTTAGTAAACAGTGGATTTGCTTGCCCACTGTTACTTGAAGAATTCAATTTTAGAGACTGCAATTCATTCAAGAAATGAAGATACTTTTTCTGTGGCGATTTATACTGATAACTACACTGCATATAACCCTATCGCTAGAATTGCTAGGCTGGTAAATGGGTTGGGTCATATTTGGAGTCCAGCAGTACATTTTTTGTTCTGAATTGCATATTTGTATTTTGCGTTATGAGTAATTGTAATATTTGTATTTTGCATTCAGAGTGATCATAAATAGCTAAAGAGTTATTAAACTGTGAATCATGCAGCTGTGTATGACAAGTATACCGATGAAGAACTTATATTTTGAAAGTAGATTTCATGAAATTTCTGATATAGATTCAGATATAGAAGTTTCTGTTTTACCATTTTCAATGTTGACACCGTAAATCATGATTACAATTGGAAATATTAAATCTTCCAAAGAATTCAGATTTGGAATACAAATTCCAGCGCAAGGAAGATCTACTTCATTTTTACAAAAGCATTCCCGAAAGAGAGTTTCGAAAACTGCACAAGCATGCTGCCCAAGTTTTAAGTATGTTTGAGTCCATGTAGTGTTTGTGATCGAAATGTTCTGAGGTTAAATTGCGCTCAATCATTCAGGCCAAATATTGAATGCAATGTGCGAGAACAAAAGTTTTAAAAAATGAAGAAAGTATTAACATGTGAAATCTCTTTAGAGTAATACTACATACTTTTTGTTACTTTGTTTGCATTATAACTCTTAGATATAAATATTTACCTGATTTCTGACAATTCAACATTCAGTAATTGTCCCTGTCACCAGCTTTCTCAAAAGTATTTGCTGAAATTCTTTCCTTAACCAAATTATTTGTTTACTGCTTGTTACTATCGTTAGTGGGGGTGACGTGAACTGTCTGCAGACAATGGTAATGGCTGTTTTGGTATTTGTGCTTATAGGCAGAACACTGGCCTCTACGGACAAAAGTATGCCATTTTGAAGTGATAATTGGCACTGTTAAATTTTTCATACCCCAGCATTTGACACTTAAATTTCTCATACTGGGGAATTGACACTTCATTTCTCATAGTGCTCTTGCTATATCCCGGCTGCCTGTTTATAACCGGGAGCGATCGGCCTTGGCTCTAACGAGTGACGTGTTGAGCCCTTGTGTAGGGTGTAACAGGGAGGTCGGGTTATAAGTAAAATAAAATAATTTCCTTTTTCATTATAGATAAAATTCATTGCTTTACCTGCTCAATAGAGAATTGTGATAAATAAATTCCCAGGTAGCACTGAGTTATTTCAGTTACTTTATCAATGAAATTGACTAGTTTGTTCAGTGCATAAATTGCTTGTTAGCTCTTTTACCATTCAAATGACATGAGAAATGTGTCCATATTTTTATCGTTATTTTCAGTCAGTGGCATTTCATTTTTAAAAGCATATTTACAAATATATGTTTATACAACTATTAAATGCAAATTGGTACTTACTTTGGATTCTTATTTGGTGGTTTCAGGTTTTAGGAAACAATCAGAGCAATTTGAACTAAATGAAAGTGTGCAATATGAAATGGTTGACTGAATGTTTGACTGACCCTTGATCTTATGAAATCTAGAAATCTCTTATCATAAACTTAACACTTTGAATTTATGATAGTTTTGAATTAGTTTTTTTTTAACCTATTAAAATCAACACATCTTTTTTTGGAGACATATTTTGAAAATTGGTAGGTTGATTGAACATAGAAAATATAATTCAATTTGATCTATTCTTTACAAATTGTGCTTGGCAAGAGGAAATATTATAAGATGACATTGATATTATAAGATAAATAATGAAAACACACTTTGCGCAATGTGTCTTCATATTTCAGACAACAATGTGTGTTTGTGACGACTTTGTACACAGTTCTTCAAAAACAATATTTTGTTCAATTTGGTGCATTTGTGATATTCCTTTAATATTCGAAACATGGAAGATTTTTTTAGTCCTGAAAGTGGGTTTAATGTAATAAATTTTCCGTACTCGTGTCTAGGAAACAGAATTTATTGTGATAAAAATAAACCAGCGGGTAAAGCCCATCACAGGATTTATGTGCACTTACTTACATACAATTGTTAGTACTAACATACTCTAGAAATTTTCCACATAAAGATTGAATTAAGTCAGATAGTAAATCAATATCGTTGGTATTTGTAGCCCATAACTCATTGAACTACTCAGTACATTTATTCAAATTAGATTTATAGATAAAGCGATTTGTTATAAGTTTATTTCACGCTATTCTTGCAAGAAATTTAAAGAAACATATCCATGCATTTTTGACAGAATTTTGAAAACATCCTAGGGGCTTCACGTAAGGTACTACCAAAATTCAAAGAATTGATTCCAGACCCTCGAACACTTTCTCGAATTGTTTGCAACTATTGCCATTTTCAAAAATTCGGAATTCAACGGAATTCTAAAAACGCAGTCTTAGAAAGAAATAGTTCTACAATAGTGCACACTTTCTCGCATTATTTATAAGTTTTGGAAGTGTCTAATATTCAGAGTTATACGAATAGCGTCCTTTGCTCTACCCGAGAAAAAAAACTATTAGAGCGTTTTTGAGAATTGTTGTTTAAAATGTTTACTTTCTCGCATGCATCTTACGTAGCATACCGAAATAATTGAAATGCTACGACAAGAAATAGCGATTTTTTGACAGGAAATCTCTTGTATTGTGGGGTCCTGATACTGGAAAAGTGGATAAATATTGCTTCTTTATTCAGTGAATTACTTACCCTTCCTTGATACCGAAATGTTGGTTGTCGGCTTGCCTGTCTGGCGGTCAAGGGGAGGATCTGCGCGCAAGTAGATCAGGGAAAGGAAAATGCGTTTGGCAAGAAATATACTTCAGATTGGATGTGTGCCGCACAACCGATGGAAGCGACATTGAATCTTTTTGAGTAAAGTTTTAATCTGTTAAGAAAAACTTGATGTGTTTCGCTAAATAACAAAACGATGTAAGTTAAATGAGTGAATCAATACATGCCTTCAAATTTGTCCGTATTGAAACATCCGGTATTGTCTGCAGCTTTCTGATATATGGTTGGTTATTACAGGAAACGTAAGAACTAGTTCACATGTTCGATGTGACAGGCTTGCGTGGAATAAATTGGTAGATAGAGATCTTGTTCAAGAGTTCGTGACCGTTTAAGCGACCTAAATAATTTTTAAATGGGGGCAAATCGACCATCAAACAGATTTGCTATTGACGGTTTGATAAGCAATTTTGAGAACACGGTAATATGCGGTAATTAAATCGGTAGGCTCTTGGGTATGCCATAAAAAACTCAAGAGAAGGAAAGCAAAACAGCACAAGAGTAATTCGATGTTTTCTATTGAGTAACTGTTACCGAGATGGAGTTCATGTTGTGCTTGTCAGCATGAAGCATTAGTAAAGTGTGTTATATAAATAACTTGTTACTTTACTTTCCGTTCTTAAAGATCACTGAATCAAAATCAGAATTGAAAATTATTATAAGCTGGCAAAATGGCATACGTTTAGGTCTATTGCAGCGTACTGAAAATGTTGAATGTTACCCTTTCCGAATTGCATTTTCCGAACAAATAAATAATCATAAAATGAGACCTTTATCCATTTTCTAGTATGGTACCTTAGGCTTCCCTCTCTCCGTAGCATGGGTTGTCAGAAAGTTTGAAATTGAGTTAAGATATTGTTATTTCGAATTACTTAGACATTAACTGTTAATTAACAAACTGTCGCCCTGTCTTCCCTGATTCGCCCCCGCCTTCCATCCCCGTCCACTTTGCCTTACCCGATCCGGCCAGTTAACTTTCGCCCCGCCTGTATCCTGGCCAGCCCCTGACTGCACTACTGCAACGCAGACCTTTAATACATAACGGCATTGCGGGTTGCATAAACAAAATTTTGTAAAATGGTTAGGGGAAAACAGACTTGCAATCACATTCGTTTTGATTCTCGGCCGCTCAACGTATTCCTGCCTTTTAAAATAATCACTCCCTATAGTGGTATACATTTACTTGTATACGTGTACTTTTCACTATATAAGCCGCCATCCTGACTTTTTGGGTTTTCCAATTACCTGAAAGCGTATTCAGGTATGGTCCTTTATTTTGCAATCGTACGAATAAATGTAAATTTTCCTTTCTGAGAAAAACACAACTTACTGAACCTACGTTGCTCATTTTTATTTACTGAATTCTAATAGTTAACCTGGTTGTTTATAATAAATGGTTCTTTCTGTGTTAATGTAATTTCGACAATGTGTAGAAACGTGGTTATATTTTTGTGGCTGTGGTTAATATGTGTGTGGCGCGGCGGAGGAGCGCGGCGCGCGGGCCGCGCAGTGACGCAGCGGCGGGTGCGCAGGGGGACCTGGTGGAGCTGGCGCTGGCCGGCGGCGCGCTGTGGGCGGCGTGGCGCGGGCCGCGGGGGCCGCTGGTGTCGCGCGCCGCGCTGGGCGCGGAGCTGGGCCCGTGGCGCATGGCGCTGCTGGAGCCGCCGCCCGACGTGGAGGCGGCGCTGCGCGACGACGCGGACGTGGCCGAGCAGTACCTGCACTACGTCTTCCACGGCCACCACTTCTCCGCGCCCGTCATCGCGCGCGCTCTCGCCGTGAGTACCGATGCTACAAAAAGCACCGCTCTTTGTTTTGACTGTTCCACGGGGGCGGAAATACCTCGCTCTCAAATGTTCGCAACCTCACTCGTTGGTACTTTTGTTAAAATTCAAGTAAGTATAAAGTACGGCGAGAAAAAAGGATTCCGGGAGCCCAAAAAAACGTGCGCAGAATATAATTCTACCCAAGTTTTACTTCGTTAAATAAATTAAAAATTATAACATACGAATGACGGGCCCCATAGCTTGCATTGTACTTCAACTTACGATTATCTAGCATATAGAAGACTGATGGAGTTTTACTTTTGCCCAATTGTTACCGTAGCTCCTCTCTCAATACGAAGTGTAGAGTGGACTTGCACGTATAAAATAATGAAAAAAGGAGAAACGATAACTCTTGCATTGTTGTATACAAAAATATTGGAAAACTGGAAAACGTAACATTGAATCTTCAGTAGTCAAGCAGCGACTGATCGTCTCTTCCATTTTCCTGAGAGCATTGTGAATTTCCTTCGTTCTCGTAGATGCAAAGGCTTGCTGTATTAAAAGACGTTAAAGCGGTCACCGCTTAAAAGCATGGTTGAAACTCAGATATGAAACTGCAGAAGATAAATTAGGTATTTCAAAAAGTCATAATGTTCGTGTTGCGTGTGGTTTAAACAATGTCAAAGGGAAAGCAATAAGTGCTCTCGAGCAGGGGAAGTTCACAGACGCCTCCCGCGATGATACGAGACTAATAAGCTTGGGAGTTGACGCGCCCGCCGAATCAATCGAAAGCAACACGAAAACTGTGTTTGCTAGAAGATTGGAAAGCGCGTAACGCGTGGGTGTGGCTTGTGGTGGCAGCTGTTCCGGCGCAGCGGGCCCGCGGCGGCGGCGGCCGCGGCGGCGGCGGAGGGCGCGGGCGGCGGCGCGTCGTTCCGCGCGCTGCGCGAGCGCGTGGCGCGCGCCGTGGAGGCCGACATCCGGCGCCAGGCGGCGGGCGCCGAGCTCACCGACGACGACTACGCCGAGCTGGCCTACGCCTCGTGGTCGCGCTTCTACTCGGGCTGCGTGCAGTACGCGGAGGCGGCGACGCGCGCCCTGGGGCTGCTGCCGCTGGGCGGCGGAGGCGGAGGGGCCGCGGCCGGCGCCGTGCTGCTCAAGCGCCGCTGCTACTCGCTGCTGCGCCCCATGGACCCCCTCGAGCAGCAGCTGCTGGCGCCCGAGGCCGCCTCTGCGGCGGACAGCCCCTCCGACCGCAAGGCTGGGTGAGTGGCCACGTGCTTTCCCTCGGTCCCTGACGATCCCTTTCCTCCCCCCCCCTTATCGTCACTCCGAACTTTTCCTTCTCTCTCGCCCCTTTCTCACTCCCCTTCCACTTCTGTCCTCTCCCCATCCCTTCGCTCCCTTTTCCCTTTCGCTCTCATCCTTTTCCTACTACCCATATTCTCGTTCATCCCCTTCCTCTCGTATCCCTCTTACCCTCTCGTTTCCCTTTTCCTTCACCCCGTGACTTCTCATCGGTTTGGTTTTTTCTCCTCTTCTTCTCCTCTGCTCCTTCTCTTCTTTTTTCTTGTTTGCTCCTTGTTCACCCAACGCATTATAAACAATAGAAAACATGTATGCTTAAGTTTGTGTAAACCCTGAAATGACGTTTCCTTTCTTTGGCATATTCGATGGCTTGTTTTCCCTCATCGAAATACGCAGGCGAGGCTGTCGAGTGTGAGTGCCATGAGGTGTGGTGTGTGTGGCAGATCTCCGTCGTGGGACGAGTCGGAGGGCGCGGGCGAGGGCGACGAGGGGCTGCGCGCGCTGGCGAGCGCGCTGGCGCTGCTGGAGGCGCGCTGCCCGCCCGAGCTGAAGGCGGCCGTGGCCACGGCGCTGGAGGAGGCGCAGAACCCCGAGACGCGCGTGGCCGAGCTGCTGCGCGCGCCGCCCACCGCCGACACCGAGCCCTTGCTCGCGCCGCCCTTCCTGCAGGTGAGCACCTGCTCTGTCTTCGGGCATTTTACTTCACTTTGCATTCACAAGTAAAGTCTGTTTTACACGATAATTTTTTATGTACCGAAAAGTACGTTCATTTCTACGCGCGACTGTTTCGGTATCGAAACTATACGAACGAGAAAGAGCCTTTTACACGTCATTTCCTTTTCTGCTCGCTTGTGGTGAAAATACTTTCAGTAGACGCCGCGAGAAAACGCTGTAGATCATGCACGCTGTAGAGCATCAGTTGGACATAGCATCTAGGGTTACAAATTAAGTTAGTTTTATTTACAGAGCTCAGAACGAGGAGGCATTAAAATACAGCATTATTTCAATTTATTAGTTTTATTTCTCGCCACATAATAATTTCACATTACAATTGAAGACTTTAAAACTCTCTCGAAACTGTACAAAAGGAACAAATTGCACCACAAGTACAACAAACCAAGGAACATTCCAAAACGTGACGCCAGCAGTGTGGTAGTCAAACTGAATGAAACCAGCACCAAAAAATGAAGCATGGATCATTGATTCGAACAAGTTAGTTCCAGGCTGGTCCGTCATCTTTCTGGACCGACAAAAAATGATTGTGTAAAATGGGCTTAACGCATGTAGACGTTCTCGCACCAGTCCAAAGAAAACCTCGAACACAGGCGAACGTGGCAGAATCTTCGAAATTATGTGAAGTCAGCGAGGTAAGATGATGTTCGTGATAGGTGATTCATGTTTCCATAAACATTTAAGCGGTGGTTTTCAACGTTGGCATTGCTCTACAAGGACACTCAAATGTTTTTCGAAAACGGTTAGAAGTTGATGAATTACAATCGAACAATGTGATTCTAAACATAGCACGGTAAACGTAGAAATCAATCCTCAAACTAAGAAGGAAAACAACGGGGTCGAGTCGGACTATGCTTTTTGAGGGAGATAGGTTAGGAATAGTTGACCATGGGATGCAGTCGGTCTGTATACGCCCGCACCTGCGAGTTGCAGACTGTACCAACTCCACTGCCTGCGCCCGAGCGGGAGCCATCAACGAGCCCAGGTTGCTCCTGCTCACATCGCACCATTTGCTGCTTGTCGGTGCCTTGTGAAATGTAAGCTCTCGGGTTGGACTTGGCCTATTCGATTCGCTGGTAAACGAAGAACGGAACGGGTGGTTGAGATCAGAAACAAAGTTTATTTCATCATAAAACGTACTTATACCTAAAACATAAAACCATTTACACATTAATGAAGAAATTGAGAAGCCTAATTTTCTTTACAAGTGAAATTCTTTATGTCTAATCTGTAGCAAATTAAAATGGAAAACACTCTTTCTTCTTCGATAGTTAGTCGGACGTAATAAAATCAGACCTCGGAGTGCGGGCGCCCGCGCTCGGTAATCAATTATTTGCCGCGAGACGCCGCATCTGCGGGAGAAAGCCATAGATTTGCGATGATAATGAATGTGTACGAGATTTCCAGGCAAATGCCTCCCTCATGACGCAAGCATTCGCGGCGCGTTCTGCCCTGAAGAAGGCCACGAGAACGAGAATGAAAACGGAAACACTTTCTCCCTCTGATATCTAAGACATTCTCGTGGACTGCCTGCCATTCCACGAATGTGTGGAGATCCTATCAGCTTAGGTAGCTCAGGGGATCAATTGATGTCCCTGCAAAGCCTGTGTCCGGCAGGTTCTAGGGTTCCAGCCCCAACAGTCGCAGGATGTTCGACTTCGTAGCGTGTGGAATTCAGTCGCTGTCTGGAGGAGAGTTCTACCGACCGGTTACTCTGATCAGCCACGGACCGCGCGATATTTTCCCTTCTTTTTTGTCCTATCCTCACTCCGTAGTTACACACTCGCATGCATTACACGAGCACTCTTGCTGGGAGACCGGTCGGGAGGGTAGAGCTTGTCCCGGCCGGGGCAGTGTCTCGCTGGTGGGAGATACTTGATTGAGGAAAACCCCGCTAGTCGACACGTGCGATCTCATCCAGCGGGGGAAGATCACCGCCACCACCAGCAATAAAAAATGCGCTGCACTTACGTGACTAATGACTGGCAGGAGCTGGGCCGTCGGCTGGCGCTGGTGCCCGAGCCGTGCGCGGCGGTGAGCGCGCTGCTGCGGCGCCTGGCGCTGGACGCGACGACCGCCGAGATGGAGGCGGCGCTGGCGCCCGGGGCCGCCCCGCCCCCGCCGCCGCTGCCGCCCGCCGTCGCCACCCTCTTCGCCGGCGCCGCGGGACTCAGCGTCGTCGCGCAGACCCTCCACCAGGCAAGCGTTCACTCCCTTCACTCTTCTCTCCTTTCATGGAAATAAGCCCACGGTCCAAGTCTGTGGTATCACCCTAAAGGCGCTCCACACGTTCGTTGTTCGGCGAGTAGCGAGCAACCGTTTGGTCGAATCCCTAGTGTGGGTGAGTTGTGTGATTTTTGCCGAGTGACGAACAGTTGGTGCCACCGTGTGTCGGTCTTTAGGGACGCATCAAAGGAAGCAATCATTTGCTGAACTCACCAGCTGTTTGGGATTGGCCGAGCAGTATCTCGCCGCTCGGCAAATGTCGAGTGTGGAACGCGTTAAGGGTATGGCAAAGGTAGAAAAAGATGGCATTGAGTGAAGAAAATTCTGTAAAATGGAGAATGATCTTAGGAACGTGCTCTGTCGATTCTCAGAACAATTTTTTCTCATAGTTTCTATACCACTGAGTATATGATAAGTACATATTTTTGTAAGTCAATTCCTAATTTCAAGTCACTGCTTTACATTGGAATGAATTTTTTGTTAATAAATTTTTGTTAAACGGGGCATTCTCTAAACCGTCTCCGTTTTCTGAATGGCAGAGTTACTGATCCTCTTTGGTATGTATATTTGAAAAAAGGATTCACTCAATGTTTTGTTTCGTTTTAATGAATATCGTGTTGATTTGGTTGTGTGCGAACCAACGTAAGCTGTTGGTGGTGGCGTGGGTGTGACGTGGGGGTGTGGTCGCAGGTGGCGAGCGCGCGCCTGGCTGCGTGCCGCGCGCTGCTGCTGCTGCTGCGCCTGCTGGTGGAGCGGCGGGCGGCGCTGGGCGCGCGCCTGGAGGCGGCGCGGCTGGACGCGCTGCGCTCGTCGCTGGCGCCGCACGTGGTGGTGATGGCGCAGGCGTACCACAGCGTGGCGTGGCTGGGCGAGGCGTGCGCGGCGCGGGCGTCGCGGGCGTCGCTGGACGCGGCGTCGGAGCTGCTGGCGGCGGCCGGGCTGGCGCGGCTGGCGCGGCGGCGCGCGCGCGGGGGCGGCCGGCCCCCGCGCCGCCCCCGAGGGCGCCGCGTCGCTGCTGGCGCTGCTGCTGGCGGGCCGCTGGGCGCCGCGGCGCGCGCTCGCGCTGGCCGCCCGCCAGCCGCGCCGCTGGACGAGGCGCGGGCGGGCGGGCGCGGCCGCGGCGTGCCGTGGCGCTGGCCCTCGGGCCGCGCCGCGTGGCCCGTGGGCCGCGCGCCGCGCCGGCCGCTGCTGCTCGCCGCCGGCCAGCGCCGCGCCGCCGCCGAGTACGAGCGCCTGCTGGCCGGCTGGTGCGAGTGCGGCGTGCCCCTGCGCCGCTTCGCCCTCGGCGCCGCGCTGCTGCTCGGCGGAGAGCCGCGCAAGGCCCTCGACGCGCTCCAGGTCAGCCTCTCAATCTCACTCTTCTTTTTACGCACAGTGCTCTTTGTAAGAATAAATAAGAAGTACCATAGCAGTATAGGGTTCTTTGTGTTAAAGATAAATGCAGCAACAATTTTGTGATCAATGTTTGCTTGTATTTTCCTACAATCTTGTGTAAAAAATGCGTACTGTAATTTAACGTGTAGTCCATTTCCAACACGCTCTTGCTCGTATAATACAAATTTCTGCGTAACTGTTATGCAGAGTAATTCTGAACGCTGCCATCTAACTTCATAACGTCAGTCATAAAGTGGTGCAAGAATGGAATCCTGAACAAGCGGGAAACTGCACTAAATATTTTTACAGCTGAGAAATTACAAGATATTGCCAAAATCATCTCATGGGCTGTACTCTATTTACTTCTCTCTGCAGCTGCAGAGCATGCCCATGTTCATGAAGTGCGGGCTTCGAGATTTTATGGCCCATGTCCAACAGAATGTTTTCATAGAAACTTAAGCAATAGAAACTTCTATAAAAATTACTCATTTTTGCAGTGAATATTGTGTCGAAAACTTTCCTTGCAAAAGAGCGAATAGTGCAATAAAGTTCACAAGACAAACTATTTCATTAGGAAATTCAGTGGGGGAAATTAATTTTGCATATTATGATGCCTACTCTTTCAAAAATGAAGACAGACAATATTTTTCATTAGCTTTTCGCTCTTTTCTTCAGTTGCATTATACACCTTTTAGAACCAACCTCTAAATCAGAAAAATCGCTGATAATAACTATAGTACATTTATTTATATCATAAATAACAATAGTGCTTGATTTATCCTCACAAGTGTTCGAAATGATCTTCCAATGATGCCATAATGTCTGCTTAATCCAAATCTTTGAGGCAAGATGAAGATCCATTTCAGCCAATATTTCATATCGCATGTTATAACTTATTTTACTGTTCTCTCTTCCAACTCTATAAACTCTTTGAGATTTTAAGAAAAAAAATACTTATATATTTTATATTTAATATAAATATAAATGCAACAATGCCTTCTTTGACCGTGTCCGCCGCCGAACGAACGCATACGGAGTTCGGCCCTTTGTACTGCGTTCGCAGTCGGAAACTGCTGCTCTTGACTATACTTACCCGCCCACTGCGTTTGTGCACATTTTCTGGAAACCTGGTCATGAATGCGTAGAGAAGGCATCGTGGCCGTTTTTCGTAACCCGTCGACTTGGCTAGTGCTCACTGACTATGCCTTGCCATGCGAGCTTGGTGGAAGATAGCTCTTCGCTGTGAATAACGAGAATGAACGGTGATGGAATAGTCCCAAGAAAGAAAATAGGAATGGCGTAAGAAAACCTGTCTTGTTTGTCCCTTACACATTTCGTGTGAATCGATCTGGATTTGAACCATAGTCTAAGTAACGAACGCGAGTCTACTGTGCTTCGGCTAAGGAAAGAGGGGTCAAAAATATTTACTTAGAGCACCAGAGGAAGTTGAAAAATCGCTAAATAGAAACTATGAACGCGTCTTTCTCACATAAAAGAGGTCAGAAGTGGGCTCTGTGGATTGGATGAATGGCGTGCGCAATACCGATGTACTACCATTGTATCGCTTGTTGACATGTTTCATTTATAGTATTGTATGAAGTCGTATCCTTGTGAAAAAATAGAATCGTTGGAAAGAGAATACCGGAGGAATATGAGGTGTCACGGAAGACAATTTTTTTACGCAATTTATGCACTAATACTGTATTTCAAACTGACCACTGTCGTAATAAAGTAATAGCATACCGTCGTTCGTGTATTGCACGGTCAATTATAATTTCTGAAGTTGAACTTCAGTTTTGTGTCTGGATTGTCCATATTGCGAAAGATCATATTTCACGCGTGCCTGAGCGATTGTGACCTTGGCTTTACCACGTGTTAAATTATTTACCAGCTGAACTTATCTGTAATTCAGAACTACTCTCATTTTTCACATTGTGCATTATTCCTATTGAACACGGAAACAAAATTGCCGCTCTCAAGAATTACTTTAAAAATCTAGGAAACTATTCCGGGAAAAAATTAGACTGTTTAATTTAAGTGTCCAATTTTCTTCGAGAAGGAATGGCCTCGATTTTCAAAGAATAGAAATGATACTTTTGTGTGAGGCGGTCGTACTAGTATTTTCTATTTCGCAATTATTCCACTTTCTCTGGTACATTGGTAACGATGTAAATTCATCGAGAATGTGAAAAGTGGCGTCTATGGCAGGGATTGAAGCAACTGAGAATGTTTTATTCAGCAGTATAGTACACTTCGCCTCATTCTTTTCGTAATGACATGTACAGTTGAACCATTTCGGAATTGAATTACCTCACAGTAATATTAATTATAATGTACTCGAAGTGACCAAAAATTGAAGCATTAATAAGTAGTTCTGTATTTTTACGTGCAGTGAATCTGTTTTTTAAAGCTATCACAAATTCCAGCCACTCTCAGTTTTTGGGGAAATATTGCATAATATGAAAATTAGAATTTGTGTCAGTGTCCCCGTTACATTGAAACTAGCGGTCTTCCCTTCCATCTAGGGAGCACTAGTTGAGTCTGTCACGCAATGTGAAATTCGCAGAGAGGAAGACTGGGCAGTTTCCATTGTATTATAGTCCTCAGAAGATTCTTAAGATTGGATAGTCCCGTATAATTCAAGGCTCGCAGACCAGGATTCATCAGGCTTCATCATTGATGGAGTCTCTAAAAGAATAATATTACAATTGGAGTTCTTGCGGGTGTCTGAAGGTGATGTAGTAGCGTGCTCATAAGTGGTGACGTCGATTTTACACTGGCTTAGTCCAAATTCTTCTCAATATTTAGTTCGTGTTGTGAACACACATTGAAGTACACCGTCCAAACGAAATTTGCACTGATTGTGGTCAGATTAAACCACGAATTAAGATCAACTGTAAGTCCGTGATAATTATCAAAGATATTCCAAATTTGACGTCCCTAAACCTAACGTATTAATAATAATGATTAAGCATGATACATGCGATATTACGCACTAGAAGACAAGAATGAAAGTGAGATCCTGGACGCGTCTCAATTACTTTCACCCACATTTACTCTTGTAATTTACTAACAATTATTAAAAACTAAGTTACTTGTCCCTTCTTTTTGTAGTTCATTTTTTTCCGAATTTAGAGCGGTGTCCCTACTCGTCCTATTCGATGCTAAGAGTTACTCAGCAATGAGAAGCGTTGAATCTCAATACTGGACTTCTTGCGTTCTTTCTCACTTATCTTCTAGTCACTCAGTTTTTGGAGTTGCCCGTTCTTTTGTTTGTTAATCTTTTTCATTGTTAATTTCTTTGTGTTTGTTAATCTATTCACACAAAAAATGTGATTAAGACGTCGGAGGGGAAGAAGGAGAGTATTTTCGTCAGATCACTCGTGCTGAAGGGGAAGATTTCTTCCATAGGTTCTTGTGAACCCCCAATAATCTGCATTGCACTTAATGATCCACTTCACTTGTACGACGCGTGTGCGTATTTGAGTTTTTTTTTATAACTAAACCGTGTGGATTAAAGAGCGCGTGTCTTTTCGTTTCTCTTTCTCTCTCGCGCTCTCTTTCTCTCTGTTTCTCTCTCGCTCTCTCGCTACCTTTCTCGCTCTCTCGCTACCTTTCTCGCTCTCTCGCGCACTCACAATCTTTCTCTCTCGCGCTCTCGCTCTTTCTCTCTCGCGCTCTCGCTATCTTTCTCGCTCTTTCTCTCTCGCGTTCTCGCTATCTTTCTCGCTCTTTCTCTCTCGCGTTCTCGCTATCTTTCTCTCTCTGTCGCGCTTTCGCTATCTTTCTCTGTCGCGCTCTCGCTATCTTTCTCGCTCTTTCTCTATCTCTCTGTCGTTCGCGTTTCACTCTGCCTCCCTGAGGCCTCTTAATCTGTGATCCTGCCTCTGCGTGTGGTCATGAGCCCGATCTCCATGGAGAGGGCCGTGAGAGCGAAGGCGCGACGTCCTGTGTGCGCAGGCGGCGGCGGCGCCCCGCGACGCGGCGCGCACCCTGCTGGAGCAGCTGGGCGCCGGCGGCGGCGGCGGGGGCGTGGGCGGCGGGGACAGCGACGCGCTGTCGCCCTCGGCGCAGTACACGCTGCTGCTGGTGCGCCTGTTCTCGCTGGGGCGGCACTGGGACTGCGTGCTGGCGCTGGCCGAGGCCGGGGCGGCGCGCGCGATCAACGATGAGGAGCGCGCCACGCTGCACCTGCTGGCGTTCGGCGCGCACCTGCGCCTGGGCCGGCTGGCGCGCGCCTTCCACGCGCTCGTCGCCATCCCCGACCGCCAGCGCGCGCGCCTCTGCCTGCGCCAGCTCGTCGCCACCTGCTTCGAGCGCCGGCGCCTCGCTGAGCTGCTCGACTTCCCGCACGGCGCGCTGCTCGACGACCTCAGCGCCCAGGTACGCATCTCCTATTCATTCAACAAAGGGACGAAGCCCTCTCTTAAGCTCGTTTTACACGGTCAAATTTTCATCTTTTTTCTTCTCTACGGCGGTCCAGACGGGATGTAGTGTGTACAGAAAAATGACCCATCCTTCACTTTTTGGTACAGATTCCATCAAGATGGAATTTCGCTCTCCTAGAGTCATTTTCCTAATATTTTCATCGTGCGCTATACGTATGGTGTGATGTGGTTTATTCCTTTGGTGCAATTATGAAAACGTTCTAATGTGTTGAATTGTAATGTGACGCTGTTTGTGTGGTGAGAAGTAAAATATATTATATAAGCACGTTTCTTTGAGGCCCGGGCCACATATCCCCACTTCTTTACTACCATTAGTTGAATTCAGACTAAGGAATAGCAACAAGTGTAATTGATCAAATTTAATAACCAGAAATGTTCCCTTCCCTGTAATAGAAACAAGAAACAAAAAAAGAGCTACAGGTTAGATATAATAGACTTAACCTCCACTCCCCTCCACCCAGCAAATTGAGGGTTCAAGAAAACGTGCGGGGATAATACTACTAATGCGGGGTCTCCTCGATCGGTGCGCAGTCAAAAATAGCCTAAATTAATTTGCAATCAGAGATGCTATTATTCAGCAGTTTGGTTTTCAGCGCTCTTTGCGGAGTCCAGAGGAAATATTTTCATCCCGATTACGTGCAGAAAACGAGCAGATTGTGAAATGCTAGATATCCTTCACTCAGTTTCGATGCCGAAAGAAACTGCAAAGAAACAAACATTAATTTTTTGTACAGAAAATGGAAAAAAAAATGGCCGTGTAAAAGGGGTTTAAGTAGCAGCTACCAGGTCTGAGATGAGAGTGAAATCTTATACTATTCACTTCGGTGTCGGGAAGAATACCATACTTATTTTCTGAGAGGAGGGTCCCTTTGAGGACGAATCCGAACCAAAGGGAACAAAACTCCGGATGGCGAGATAATCCGGTACGGTTGGATGTCTGCACTCCTTGGTCACTGCTCCCCTATTTGTCATCAACGACGTAAAGATCGTCGAGATAGTAAAACTGGGGAACCGTGTGGACATTTTCAATCCTTCCCCGGGACTTATCGAGAGCGGAAAGACCGTGCGGACATTGGACGACACCTCTATTAGTCACTTGTTGATGTTGGCAGGTGCTGTCGCGCGCGCGGGCGCAGCCGCCGGGCGCCGGGCCGCACTACTCGTTCCTGTACGCGCTGCACATGGGGCGCGGCGCGGCGCGCAAGGCCGCCTTCGCCATGCTGGAGCAGGCGCTGCGCGCGCGCGCCGAGCTGCCGGCCAGCGCGGCCAACGTGCGTCTGCGCGCGCGCTGCTTGCTCGCCTGCCTGAACGCGCTGCGCCTCGCCGCGCCCGACGTGCGCTGGCTGGTGCGCCCCGACCCCGAGCCCGCGCGCGCCCACGACCACGACCACGGCCACCCCCGCGGCCGCGCGGCCCCCGACAACGGCGAGGACGACGCCTCCGACGAAGGTACGCGCGCCGCAAACGCTCGGGCTAGGCCTCTGTCACGCGAGCCTTGCGTTGACGCGCGTCGTGTGCGGAACTGCCAAAGCGCTTCTCTGACGTTTCGAGTGAGATACAATCTTATTCTATGACGCGCGTCAATGCAATGCTCGTGTATAGGGGCCCTTCAGTGCGTGCTTCTCTACAACTGTGGAGTTCGGACAATTGTCTCCACCTCCTCATAGTCTTTCTCTGCTCCCGGAACTGCCCCTCCTCGTCCTCCACATGCTCTCTTCCTCTATTCCACATCCTTACTCCCCCTTCTCTTCCCCTCCACTTTCTCCCTTCCTCCCGTCTCCTTCACTCCTCGCCTTTCCCTCTCTTCCACTCCTGCCACACCCCTCTTCCTCCCACCACGTTACCTCCCTCTCCGCCCCTTTTCTCTCTTGCCCCTCCTCCTCAGCCCCTTCACTACGTGCCCCTTCCTCCCTTACCCTCCGTTCCCTCCTCCCTTTCTGTCCCTCCTCTGTCCCCCGTCCTTCTCTGCCCCTCCCCTGTCCTTCGTCCCCCTCTGTCCTTCCACCACCGCTGACCCTCCTTCCCCTCTGTTCCTCCTGCCCCTTCTGTCCCCGTCCTCCCCTCTCGCTTCAGCTTCCATCATTTACGTCTCCTGCAACATTTCCCACGTGCTCTGCTTTATTTTGCTCCCATTGTCCCTTTCTGGATCCCATGTTCGGCCTTCCGTGACGTGCGACGTGCGTGCGCAGGGCTGTCTGGGGAGGCGGGGCCGCGCAGCGCGCTGGCCCGCCGCCGCCCGGCCGACGCCGAGGTGCTGGCGCTGGCCACCCACCGGCGCGTGGCGCTGCTCACGCTGGAGGACGTGGAGCGCGAGTACCTGCTGGCCAGCGCGCACCTCGCGCTGCTGCGCAGGGACCAGCACGGCTTCGGCGCCGTCGGTGAGTCGGCTTTGACACTTTGCACTTTGCACTTTGTAATACTCGTTTTATTAATTGATTATAGGCTTTTAAGATGGTGCTGGACAAGGAGCACTTCTCTAGACAAAAACATTACAGTGAGGCCAATAATATGTTGAAATGGTTCTATAAACATTTATTTAATCGGCCCTACGTTGGGCCCCATTGGTTCTACAGTTCATTTGGTTCTACAGTTTCTATTAAATATTTATTTAATTAATATGATCCACCCATGAATATGCAAACCTTCGATATCAATCCTAATATTTATATACACATTATGTATGTGCCCTGCTCTGCTCACATCCTTATTTTATAATCAAAGATTTTATGAACATGCCCTTTTTTATGGGTGTAGACTTCGTACGACGTACTAGAGCTTACCTTGTTGCATGCAATTGGGTCTGTTCTGATCAGCAATTTCTGGAAGTTCTATTCAATTAAATAATTCCTTGATCGATTGCAATCAACTACAAATTATCAAACTTTTTTTTAAAAATAATATAAGAAGTATATTGATTTATAATTCAGATATCAACAATACTTATTGAGCTAAGTATAAAATGTTTGTGTATGCTGCAGCTTCATTGCATGAATTGTGTTGCAGCTGGAGACCTCTCCCCTGCAGAGATTGTCACAGCATGCACAAGTGCAGGTCTCTATGAAACAGCCTTACTAGTCGGGCAGCGCTGTGGGCTGCCGTTGGACCCAGTGGTGCGTCACTTGGCTTGTACCTGCATAGACCTCACAAGGCGTGGAATGCAGAACGCTGAAGAGACGTGGGTCTGGCTGAAGGAGAATGATGTTTGGGGTGAGTATTTTATTTACATTTGTATATTTGTCTCTGTTTCAATATTGCTTTTAAATTAACATTTGAAATATCTGTTCTTCTAACACAATAATTCAAAATCGTGTGGAAAAATGAGAGAAAACTGTTGCACTGTTAAAGGCTATAATTAAAGAGCATATTTCCAATGTGATGTATCTCCATTTCCATTTGTTAGTTTTACATATAAATCTATTCTTAATATGCTTCTCTATCATGCTGTTGAATGTTGTGTTTAAAAATAGAATTTTTTAATGGTCTGAAAAATCTGTGAATCCTTTCCTTTGATTCAAAGAGAGTCCATATGTTTTTTCTAGTTGGATACATTGATAATTATTTATCTTATGGTGTGTGATTAGCGTGACTTTATTTGTTGTGTGGAGGGTGTGCTTTTTACTTTTCCACTTTTTTTTATTATTATTATTTTTTTTATAGGGATATTAATGTGTGTATGCAAATTTGACATTTTAGTGCTTTATTTGCTCATTGCTCTTGTCTCGCAAAATATCTAATCTGGTGCCATTGCCGAACAAATTTGCTCATGGCACAGATCACCAGGTCCATAAGACAAGCAAGACAAAACGATCATCTACCCTTCTGAATAAAGTGTTACGGTCCATCCATTTGGCATCGGTAGTAGTTGGTGGTCTGAATAAGATTCATTACTCCCACACGGCGCCAGTCGCCCGACAGCACATGCATAGCGCGCCCCCCTCCCCAAAACGCCCGTTAACCTTCCCTCGATCAGAGAGCATTCAAGGAGAGAAGGTTCCCGTACGCCACAAGAAACTAGCCTGGCCTGTAAGGACGCTTGCCGGGTCCTCGCGCAGCGTGATGAGGCGGCGCGTGTGGTTGCAGAGTTCGGCATCGGCGACGCGGCGGCGCTGGAGCTGGCGTGGAAGCTGTTGGAGGTGCAGCTGTCGCGGCTGGAGCCGCTGCCTGCAGAGGAGGGGTCCCCGGGGGCGGGGCCGCAGTGCAGCGAGGGGCAGCTGCCCTGGCGGCGGCGGCGGCGCTGGTGCCGCGGCGCCTTCTGCACCTGCTGGCTGGTGCGCGCGTCCGGCGCCGCGGACGCCGCGCGCCTGCTTGCGCCTGCTGGCCGGCCCGGCCGCCTGGAGGAGCCGCGGCGCTGCCGCCGACCTGCTGTGACGGCGCTGGCCGCGCTGACGGTCGCCGGGGCGCCGCCGCGCCGCCGCCGCCGCTGCCCGGCCGCGCCCTCGCCGCCGCGCTGGTGTCGCGCGCCCCGCTCTGCTTGCCCGTGCACACCGTCGACCGCCTCCTGCTCGAGCTCCAGGCCGCCGCGCAGGCCGAGCCGCAGGCCTATGCCGAGGTGGGTGCCTCTCACCTCCCTCCCTCCATGTCTTCCTCATATCCCCCTCACTCACTTCCTTTCTTCCTTTCTATTTTTCATATTATATATTGGTGTGTGATACTTGGTAGATAGCTAAAGAGAACTTTAAGTGAATATACCATTGTAGAATGTAGAGTTGTAGAATTATTTACCATTTTGTGATAATTGCTGGCGTGTCGAGCGAAGATCTGAAAGCGGAAGATATGATTTCTTGGTGATGCTTTAGGATTCCCGTTATAGGTTTAGGTGTGAGAACGGTCTGTAAGGTGCGGAGTCACTGTAAAGTAGCAACATTGTTTGTGATGCAAATAGATTGCTGATGAAGGAGAGTCAAGAGTCATGCCCTTATTATTCCCATAAAGATCACGATCATGAACATCATGGTTCTTGAGGATGAATAATAGAAATTATAATGCAATCTATAATACTCCTTATAATCTAAATATTATTTCAGAATTTGTTTCATTGCAGTCATCTTAGTACTTAAGATTAAGTATCAAGCGTGATATTATGCAGAAGTGCTTGGTTTTGTGTGAAAATTGAATTGTTGTAATCTTCTTGAGAATTAGAAAAAAGCATTTTTGTGTGTCCAAATTCTAAATGAAAATCACTTCTTCAGTTTTCCATTTGGGATGCAATTTACAACTCTGGATGAATGTGGGTGGATAGGAATGAGGGAGAGTGTGAGTGTATGCTTGCACTCCCACTCTGCTCCCACTAATGCAAGCTCATTAGTATATCTGCAAGTACGCACTCAGATTCACTTTGAATGATAAACTCTAGAACTAGAACTTGTATTATTAAACTTGAATTTATGAAACAGTGTGCCCAAAGCTTTCCTCTTTTTGTGTTTGTACATCGCCGTCAGCAAAATTAGTTGTATGTAACAAGTCAGAGCTGGTGAAAATGGTTGAAAATATTGTATATTGTATGTGTAGATAATTTCTGGTGTCTATGCATTAGGTATATCTGGCTTACAGATTATATTTTTGGTATTTCCCTTGCATTACTAAAGAATAGTAATTTTAATAATTTGGATTAAATAATAGTAATTAATAGTAGTAGTTGCATGGGTCTTATTTTAATTTGTCAGGAAGGTCCATCCTTGTATCATGTTTCGTAGTAGTCTTCCCTCTCTTCTCACATTTTGTTATGAGTTTGGGAGCAGAACACATTAAAATAGTTCAACCCTAGAGTGAGCGGACTGCAGATTTAGTGGTTACAGTTGTGCATTGATTGGCATGACAATAAGTTATGACAATTCCCCCCCCC